CATATGTCTAAGTATCTCAGACGAGGCCGTCCAACTGACCTTTTCCCTGTCGCCAGCTCGCTGTATAGCACGTCCTTTGGTATGCGACCAGATTGCATTCGCTTGACGTGTCCAAGCCAGCGGAGGCGTATTTGGATTAACATGGCTGGGACGCTATACATGTTTGTTTGGGACAGGACATCCGTGTTGGGGACTTTGTCTTGCCATTTAATGTCAAGAATGTGGCGCAGGCATCTGAGGTGGAAGCCATTGAGCCTTCTTTCGTGTTTAGAGTACGTGGTCCACGACTCGCATCCATACAGAAGTGTGCTCAGTACGCAGGCCTGGTACACCTGCAGCTTAGTTCTTGTTGTTAGTTTGGCGTTTGACCAGACTCTTTTCTTCAGTCTGGCCATAACAGTTGCGGCCTTCCCTATCCTCCCACTTATCTCATCCTCCATTGAGAGGGTGCTCGATATGTTGGATCCCAAATATGTGAAACTGTCAACAGTATCCAAGTCGTAGTCGTCGATGGCGATAGTGGGGAGGGAGTCAGCGCCCTGCGCCATAATGTTAGTTTTCTTTAGGCTAATTGTCAGGCCAAACTCTTTGCAGGCAGCGGATAGGCTGGATACGAGGCTCTGCAGGCCGTCTGCTGTGTGAGATACCAAAGCGGCATCGTCCGCAAACAAGAACTCTTGCATTTATAGTCACACAGTAAAGAATCTAGTGTCACACATTAAAGAATTTATAGTCACACAGTAAAGAATCTAGTGTCACACATGAAAGAATTTATAGTCACACAGTAAAGAATCTAGTGTCACACAGTAAAGAATTTATAGTCACACAGTAAAGAATCTAGTGTCACACATGAAAGAATTTATAGTCACACAGTAAAGAATCTAGTGTCACACAGTAAAGAATTTATAGTCACACAGTAAAGAATCTAGTGTCACACATGAAAGAATTTATAGTCACACAGTAAAGAATCTAGTGTCACACAGTAAAGAATTTATAGTCACACAGTAAAAAATCTAATGTCACACAGTAAAGAATCTAGTGTCACACAGTAAAGAATCGAGTGTCACACAGTAAAAAATCTAGGGTCACACTGTAAAGAATCTAGTGTCAACAGTAAAGAATCTAGTGTCACACAGTAAAGAATCTAGTGTCACACCGTAAAGAATCTAGTGTAAAGAATCTATAGTCACACAGTAAAGAATTTAGTGTCACAAAGTAAAGAATTTATAGTCACACAGTAAAGAATTTATAGTCACACTGTAAAGAATCTAGTGTCAACAGTAAAGAATCTAGTGTCACACAGTAAAGAATCTAGTGTCAATAGTAAAGAATCTAGTGTCACACAGTAAAGAATCTAGTGTCACACCGTAAAGAAACTAGTGTCACACAGTAAAGAATCTAGTGTCACATGGTAAAAACTTAATTTAAAGGATTTGTAAAAATGTTCCAGTTCCTTTCCCCCAAAGTGACATCTGTGTTACATGAAAGGAAAGATGATGATTGGGAGGAAATGTCAGGCACAGATGACAGGTGAGTGGACTTTTGGTACAAGCATTACAATTACATCTTGGATTTAGATTGGTTGTAACCTTATCTTAACTGGTTGTAACATTATTCTCATTGAGTGTAACACAGACCTGTTTACCCCCAAACTCTTAAACTCGTATATCATCAAAAAATCGTTAAATACCTTATATTTATAGTAAAAAATAAACATATGGTATATATAATGTCATTAATGTATGCGCCTCAAAATCGTATATTGTATTCCAAAATCGTAAGAGTAAACAGATCTGGTAACATCATCCTAAATGATTGTTACCTTATCCTCACTAATTGTAACATCCGAACTGGATGTAACATTATCCTCACACTTCACATATGATCTATTATTCATAATTAATGTATTTATACAACTTATTTGACATAAACAATCTAAATAAATATTTATGTAGAGAATTAGTTCCCTCACCTAATCCAGATATGTGATGAATAAAGAGACAACTCTTAAAAGCCTCCCCTGTCAATGTAGACATTTTCTTTCTCTGTTTGTTATCACCAGTGAGTCAGAAACTCAGTTATCAAACTTGAATACCACTTTTAATCGGAGGACTTCACGTAGGAACGGCCAATCGGCTCGGCACATTTCATACAAAAATCTGACTAAAGTTGTGGTGAGTGTCCAACATTGCCATTGTTCATCTCGTCATGGGCCGATTGTTATCTTCATTTTATTGTCTAAATGTATAATTTTACTTCCAAATATAAAATGACTTGTAAGACTTTATAACAGTTAAGGAATATTATAAATTGAATCAACTCAATAGTCAATATTTTTTAAAGTCAAAAATGATATGAAATATTGAACTTAATTTTATAACGACACCTGCTTGTCAAATTTCAACCTTTTTTCAGCAGCCACGGAGAGTTCCAACTCATAGACCACCAGTGACAAAAAACAAGCACTCTGTACCTGACACAGCTCGTTATCGTTCAAGGTCAACCTCCCCTGGCTTGAAGCCCAAAACACAAGGTCAAGCTATTAAAATTTTTTAATTTTCTCCCTAATTTCATTCAAATCTAAGTAAACTGCAATCTTTTTTATTGGAGAATTATTGATTTTAATCAAATGATCTTTTCTTATTTTCAGCTGGAAGACGGGACTTTGCTACATCTCCTATAACATTTTTGTTTCCTCAAAGAACAAAAGTGCCATCAGCATTACAACAGAAACTTAAGATGAGCTACTCACTGGCTTCCCATCGGAAAGCAAGAAAAGCCGCCGACAGTCGGCAGATAGCAACATTTCAGCAACGTATCGCGCACCTCCTCAACCAAGTGGCTATCATGAAGAGAGCAAAAATGTCTGCAGTTGAACTGGAGGAGAAACTTCGTGACACTGTCAATAAATTACAAAGTGAACTTGCCTCTGTTACTGGCAGGTTGAAAGCTTCCAAACAACTTGTACAGGTGAGATGTGTTTGTAGCTTCTGTTTGTTAACTTTGAGATGTGATCTGTTTCTCAAAGTTAAGGAAAAGAGTGAAAAAAAGTATGAAAATACCTAAAAACGTGAACGCAACAAAACAACGAATGTTGCGGCAGGAAGCCTTCGTCAGCGAACAAACAGTTATAACAGAATTAAATAAAAATAGCACTTAATCAAAAAGGAGTATCCGAGGGGACAGGAAAAGAATCGTGGCCTTACTTAATCCTATAGAAACATATATTCCAGATTGTTCACATTACCACTACGCTATCGGATACTGCTTGTTGTTTGTTCTCCGATGAAAGTTTTCAGCCGAAACGTTCGGTATTTTATTGCGTTCTAAGTTGATCTAAAATCTCTAATTTGAATGTTATTTTATAAACTGGCTGGCATTCAGCAGATTTAACAGCAATACAAAGACATACAGAATAACTGCGATTGACATTCTTAAAATTGATTTATCAAACAGAAACTTCAAGATGATATTGAGAAGATGCACAAAGAGAAACATGAGTTAGAACTGGCAGTCTCTAAGAATGAAATAAAACCAGATGCCACGTCTGCTGAAAGTTTGGAGATTAAGGCCCAGGAGGCCAGACTTAAGGTTTGATATGTTGTTTGGTTTAGTCTAGTCCATTAGGTCCATTGCCAACCTGCCATTAGTTCAAGCCATTAGCTGACATAGTTGTTTGTTCAATTGACACTTTGAACAATAGCTCTTAGTTCAAGCCATTAGCTGACATAGTTGTTTGTTCAATTGAGACTTTGAACAATAGCTCTTAGTTCAAGCCATTAGCTGACATAGTTGTTTGTTCAATTGACACTTTGAACAATAGCTCTTAGTTCAAGCCATTAGCTGACATAGTTGTTTGTTCAATTGACACTTTGAACAAGAGCTCTTAGTTCAAGCCATTAGCTGACATAGTTGTTTGTTCAATTGACACTTTGAACAAGAGCTCTAAGTTCAAGCCATTAGCTGACATGGTTGTTTGTTCAATTGACACTTTGAACAAGAGCTCTTAGTTCAAGCCATTAGCTGACATAGTTGTTTGTTCAATTGACACTTTGAACAAGAGCTCTTAGTTCAAGCCATTAGCTGACATAGTTGTTTGTTCAATTGACACTTTGAACAAGAGCTCTTAGTTCAAGCCATTAGCTGACATAGTTGTTTGTTCAATTGACACTTTGAACAATAGCTCTTAGTTCAAGCCATTAGCTGACATAGTTGTTTGTTCAATTGACACTTTGAACAATAGCTCTTAGTTCAAGTCATTAGCTGACATAGTTGTTTGTTCAATTGACACTTTGAACAATAGCTCTTAGTTCAAGCCATAAGTTGACATAGTTGTTTGTTCAATTGACACTTTGAACAATAGCTCTTAGTTCAAGCCATTAGCTGACATAGTTGTTTGTTCAATTGACACTTTGAACAAGAGCTCTTAGTTCAAGCCATTAGCTGACATAGTTGTTTGTTCAATTGACACTTTGAACAAGAGCTCTAAGTTCAAGCCATTAGCTGACATGGTTGTTTGTTCAATTGACACTTTGAACAAGAGCTCTTAGTTCAAGCCATTAGCTGACATAGTTGTTTGTTCAATTGACACTTTGAACAAGAGCTCTTAGTTCAAGCCATTAGCTGACATAGTTGTTTGTTCAATTGACACTTTGAACAATAGCTCTTAGTTCAAGCCATTAGCTGACATAGTTGTTTGTTCAATTGACACTTTGAACAAGAGCTCTTAGTTCAAGCCATTAGCTGACATAGTTGTTTGTTCAATTGACACTTTGAACAATAGCTCTTAGTTCAAGCCATTAGCTGACATAGTTGTTTGTTCAATTGACACTTTGAACAAGAGCTCTTAGTTCAAGCCATTAGCTGACATAGTTGTTTGTTCAATTGAAACTTTGAACAACAGCTCTTAGTTCAAGCCATTAGCTGACATAGTTGTTTGTTCAATTGACACTTTGAACAAGAGCTCTTAGTTCAAGCCATTAGCTGACATAGTTGTTTGTTCAATTGACACTTTGAACAATAGCTCTTAGTTCAATTAGCATCTACAAACTACTATCAAAAAATAAATGATGGATTGAAATTACTTACCATTTAAATAGAAACCATATTGATAGCCAGACCAATATTTTGTTTTGAGGGAGAAACTCTCAATTTAATTTTTTTAAACAAAGTAATAGAGAGACAATGATTGTAAATATTTGTTATTTGTCTATTTTGTTACCCGCTGTTATTTGTCTATTTTGTTACCTGCTTTTATTTGTTCATTTTGTTACTCCCTGTTATTTGTCCATTTTGTTAGGCCCTGTTATTTGTCCATTTTGTTATTCGCTGTTATTTGTAAATTTTGTTACTCCCTGTTATTTGTCCATTTTGGTATTCGCTGTTATTTGTAAATTTTGTTACTCCCTGTTATTTGTCCATTTTGTTATTCGCTGTTATTTGTAAATTTTGTTACTCCCTGTTATTTGTCCATTTTGGTATTCGCTGTTATTTGTAAATTTTGTTACTCCCTGTTATTTGTCCATTTTGTTATTCGCTGTTATTTGTAAATTTTGTTACTCCCTGTTATTTGTCCATTTTCTTACTCCCTGTTAGTTGGCGGCCACTGAAGCCACTCGTCAGGCAGCTGCTATAAAAAATTTGAAGACAGAAAATGAAAGTTTACATGAACAAGTCCGTTCAATGCAGGACAGGTAATGTGTAGTTCTTTGTACCAAATTATCACAGGTAATGTGTAGTTTTTGTACCAAATTATCACAGGTAATGTGTTGTTCTTTGTACCAAATTATCACAGGTAATGTGTAGTTCTTTGTACCAAATTATCACAGGTAATGTGTAGTTCTTTGTACCAAAATCACAGGTAATGTGTAGTTCTTTGTACCAAATTATCACAGGTAATGTGTAGTTTATTGTATTAAATTATCATTTAATTTAGTGTAATGTGACCAATCTTGAATATTTTTCTCTATAGAATTAAGTAAGGCTACTAATGCTTCTACTCCCATCCCTAGGGTTAAGTAATTCAATCAACAGTTCTATTCCTCTATCCCCACCTGTAGGGTTAAGTAGGTCTATTAATCCTTCTATCCATACCTGTAGGATGAACCACCTGGAGAGAGATGTCAACCAAAAGAGAATTCTCCTGGAGAGTCAGAAGTTGAAACTCAAACAGTTTCAGGAAATCAACAAGACAGAGGCAGACAATTTGGTCAGACATTTCATCAGATTTAAAAACTTAATTAGTGCTTTTAAAAAGTCACTTGATTCTACAAGATATTAAACAAAGATTATTTCTTGATATCTATAGGATATAAAACAAAGATAATTTCTTGATATCTATAAGATATAAAACAAAGATAATTTCTTGATATCTATAAAATATAGAACAGAGATAGTCACTTGATTATATAATACATCAAACAAAGATAATTTTTCATATGAATTTCAATTTCAAACATGAAATAAGAGAATAGCCATTAAGCCATCACCTATTATGTGTGTCTATCTACATCCAATGTAATTCTTCAGAAAACTTTTACGTATAAATCCAATTAAAATGAATTCTTTATTCAAAACTTATAAGAATAAAAATAATATTTGGAGACAACTTGTCCATTATTTAAACCTGGCACAATCTTTGTAATGTAAAAATTATATTTTTCTTGGACTTTAATGGCCTTTAGCTTTTTCTTTTCTCTTTCTCTGAGTTTGAGTCAAATCTTAATGTATTGATAATGTGTTTAGATAACATATTAAAGTAATTATAATTCAAATAAAAAAAAAATATGGATGCCAATCATAGATAAGATTTATTAAAGGCTTTTTCAAATGTTCCATGTCAAATTTTTCTATGTTTAGAATCTGCTCTATTTTGATAAAATGTTCTATATTTATAAAAAGTTCTATGGGAAACGTTTTTTTTTTGTTTGATCATTATTTTTTTCTTTAGGAAGAGCTTGAGACAAAAATGAAACTGTTGACAGATGCCAACAACAAGATGAAGGTGCAGGTAAATTGGTGAAAACAAATTTATTTATAGTTACTAAATGTGATGTACACATTTAAACTTTGTTTATAGCAGTGGTTCTAAAATTGGTCTAGAGTTTTGTAGCTGGAGATCGAGACTTTGCTGATACGTTTTAGGAGTCATTGAAGGGGGAAATTAGTGGCCACACACACTGAGCACCAAAATATTAATGGCTGCACACACTGAAGAGCACCACAAAATTAATGTTGCAAACACTGAGCACCATACAATTACTTAAACATTCTTTTTAAAATTTACTTAAAAAGTCATGAAACTTTTGTACAAATTAGATTTCTAATGGTGACAGAGTTGTCAGTAGTTATATCAAAACTGATGGTATGATTAAAATATGTTTTCTCTCCACAATAAAGATGCACAATTTGATGTATAGACCTGTGTAATACTGTTATTGGAAGAAATATTTCATAACAGGATTTTGCAAGAAATTTTTGTGCAACATTTACCATACAGATAATTTTTTGTTTTTGAAAACCCCAGGTATTTTTTTTATCCCGAACTTCTGGTGGAATTTCTTTTTCACATACAAACTGGTAGAGGCGAAATAAATTTTGTGAACAATATGATTTGGAAAAATAACATACACATGAACTTGCATACTTTATGACACAATTATTTTAAATACATCAACTTGAGGCATGTGTGTTTGAGGGACAGGTTAAGTCCATCTAGTGATATCTCAGGTTTTTATCCTAACTTCAGGTAGACTCACTTAGGAAAAGACTAGGTCTTGTGGTCAAGGAAAAAAAAGGGTATGAGGACAAATTTCTGAAAGTATCCTTGGACCTTGAGGATAAGGTAAATATTAGTGAAGTAAGATGAAGAACCAAAGGAATTTTTTGGAAAAAAAATGCAACAGTAATTTTATAATTTTTTCATGAGATTATCATTATTCTTACTAGAGTAAAAGGTTTTAAAAGCTATACATCTGATTAAAGGGATTAAGAAAAAAAAATTAAAAAAGACTTTTCAATATTAACAGTAATAAAAAGACACTAAATGATTTGAACAATTGCTGGATTCCTATAACAAAACAAAAAACAATGAAAAAGAAATTTCAAAGACTTATGGTGTCAGAAGCGGTCAAAACAATTGAAGTTTTAATTTGATATTATTTGATATTGTTTATAGTGTCTTGTCTTATCATTCAATCCTTAACAATTTCAAATATTTCATACCAACATCTTGAAGGCTATCTCTCATGTTATTCTTCAGACTAAGCAGCTGTTTGAGGTGACATCCCACCGCATGGCTCTAGAAAGTGCCCTGTCTGACCTTGAGTCCTCTGCCCAACAACAGCTTCATGGCCTGGCGTCCCAGTCAGAGGCAGCCATTGACACCGCTAGGGAGAAGTTGACAGTAGCCCAAACCAGACTTTTACAGTTTCATTCTGCCATAAAGGTAGTCATTGCTACTTATTATTATATATACATATTTTTTGTAATTTTCTTTAATATAAAATGTATACAATTTTTGTGATTTGACTTAGTTTTTTTTTCATTTAACCTATAAAAGCTTTCGAAAGTTAAAAAAGAAATCTGGCATTTACTATTATCGATTTTTAATGTTGTGAATGACTTAACGTTGCATGTTTCATTGGTAAAGAATTCAGTTTCGTAGACTTTATTTCATTTTAACTTTTACTTGATAAATCATATTACCTTTGTCACTGCAGAAATCTTAGCCACATTGCTTAAATCTACAAATTTTTTCAACAAAGTATGGAAATTTGACAGCCTCCTTTTGGTAATTTCAGATCCTAGCTACAGAACTTGTTAACCGAACTGAAAGAGCTCGGTCAAAATTAAAAGAGGCCATAATGGCCCAGGAAAGACGTCAGCGAGACGATGACCCATCTCTTCAGAAAGCACAGGATAAAGCTAAAGATATTTTGAACCTGAGCCAGTCGGATCTTGATGACATCATGAGTGCAGATGGCGATGGCTATAGCCAGGTAAAGCTTCGTTTGGTTTGCCAGATAGGCCAATCATAGTTATAGAGAAGGAATGTGATCAGTTCTGATAATGATACAGAAGGAGGAATGTGATCAGTTCTGATAAGGATCCTGCATGGTAAAATAAATAGTGATATGCACAAGCCTCTTACACCTACAGGACTTTGGGCACATAACGATGCTTCATGGATCATCCAGCCGTGCTCCATCAACAAGGCAGAAAAGAATGACAGGTTTAAGGAGAAAATTAAAACAAAATAAAAATGTATTTTTGTAGATATTTTGTTAATTATTTTGACCATGCTATAGTTAGGAAAATAGAAATATGGAATCAAAGTTAATTTGATAAAATAGAAATATAGAATCAAAGTTAATTTGATAAAATAGAAATATAGAATCAAAGTTAATTTGATAAAATAGAAATATAGAATCAAAGTTAATTTGATAAAATAGAAATATAGAATCAAAGTTAATTTGATAAAATAGAAATATAGAATCAAAGTTAATTTGATAAAATAGAAATATAGAAACAAAGTTAATTTGATAAAATAGAAATATAGAAACAAAGTTAATTTGATAAAATAGAAATATAGAATCAAAGTTAATTTGATAAAATAGAAATATAGAATCAAAGTTAATTTGATAAAATAGAAATATAGAATCAAAGTTAATTTGATAAAATAGAAATATAGAATCAAAGTTAATTTGATAAAATAGAAATATAGAATCAAAGTTAATTTGATAAAATAGAAATATAGAAACAAAGTTAATTTGATAAAATAGAAATATAGAAACAAAGTTAATTTGATAAAATAGAAATATAGAATCAAAGTTAATTTGATAAAATAGAAATATAGAATCAAAGTTAATTTGATAAAATAGAAATATAGAATCAAAGTTAATTTGATAAAATAGAAATATAGAATCAAAGTTAATTTGATAAAATAGAAATATAGAATCAAAGTTAATTTGATAAAATAGAAATATAGAATCAAAGTTAATTTGATAAAATAGAAATATAGAAACAAAGTTAATTTGATAAAATAGAAATATAGAATCAAAGTTAATTTGATAAAATAGAAATATAGAAACAAAGTTAATTTGATAAAATAGAAATATAGAATCAAATTTAATTTGATAAGATAGAAATATAGAATCAAAGTTAATTTGATAAAATAGAAATATAGAAACAAAGTAAGTATAGAATCAAAGTTAATTTGATAAAATAGAAATATAGAATAAAAGTCAGTTTGATCAAATGTTTTAAAAGTAGATAATTTAAGACCAGACAATAAAGGACTAGATCAATATAAGACATATTGATAAAATAAGTGGAAATAGAGGACAATATTCATAGTTTTAAATAGAAACATTTCAGACATGTTTTCAGAGACATAAGGAGGCATGAATTCAGTTCTGTTCTTTCTGGAGACCAAATCATAAGAGTGCTTTGTTTTGATGTAAGCCAAACATCTCTTCCAGAAAGAGGTGATGATATTTTATATGGTGCAGTCTCCCCCATTTATTACAGCATTAACAAATTATAAAATAAAGGATAATTTATGAGTGACAACATTCAAGCAATGTAAAGTAAATAATTAGTGGAATAAGCACAAAGATTAAAAACGAAAAAAAAAAATTAAGACAAGAAAATGCTTCCATCAAGTAAACAAACTTAATTTACTGTGACAGATTTCACAGGTTCATTTGGCAAACTATTTAATCCTTTAAATTAACTTGGCTTTTGTTTGTGGCTGGCAAAATCTTTGGATGAATAATTTACCCAATTCCTGTCAACCTATCAAGCTGTAACTTGACACATAGACTCATTCTCGATGACGGCACATTCTTTCAAATTTTCAGTCCCCACCCGCCAACCCCAACCACCAAAAATCAGTTTTTCCTGTTTTTCAAGGCAAAGATGAAGGAATTATGATGCCACTAATCTCACGAAATAAAATTCCTGCTAAATAACTGATAATTGCGCTAAATGATATTCTTTAAAAGAAGTATTGTCTGTGTGTTTGGTGCCTACTATTTTTTTTTTTTTTTTTTTTCTTAAATAGTTGGTGAAATAAATATGCGGTTTAAAAGCGGGGAGGACATTAAAATATTAAAATAAAATAAACTAATAAGAAATGCATAAACCGGTAATGTCCTGCTAAATAACTGATAATTGCGCTAAATGATATTCTTTAAAAGAAGTATTGTCTGTGTGTTTGGTGCCTACTATTTTTTTTTTTTTTTTTTCTGAAATAGTTGGTGAAATAAATATGCGGTTTAAAAGCGGGTAGGACATTAAAATATTAAAATAAAATAAACTAATAAGAAATGCATAAACCGGTAATGGATTTATGCTAAAAACCTTTATTTTTATTGGTTGTTAAATTAGTTTATTAATTTATATTTAACTATAGCGTTATTCTGTTTTTTTTCTCTCTCTAGGAATCATTTTGTGTTGATGAGAAGAAGATGGACAAGAGATGGCTGAAGAAATGTGATAAAATAATGAACAGCAAAGTGAGTAACTAATAAATGGTTCAATCTTGAATGTCAAGGTCACCCTTACAAAGAAATGATTTCAGTAATATTTGCAGTTATCCTACATAATATTTTTATTTTTACTGCTCTATTGGACACAGCACTGAACACTTGCTACAAAGAACTTTGTCTTTATTTTATTTTTTCATGACTAATTTATTTTCTTTTGATTCCATTTCAGGATGACTTTGTGCACCCACTTATTAGTTTACTTCTTAAGAAAATTGATGAAAGAACTGAGCTGCTCCTTAATGTTCCCAAATAGACATTTGCCACATTTCCCAGCAATGTAAGAACTGAGGAATACCCAAATTGTTATGTGATATGCCATGTCCTAGTGAAACATCCTTAAATATTTATTGGTTTTCATGTATATAATAGATTGCTAAATTAAATTGATGAAGATTTTTTCATTGCTTATTTAACTTTAAAAAAATGTTCTATAAATGAATAAACTAAATATATTTCTCATTCAAGTTTGCATTGAAAAAATCATTGATCTTTGTTATAGCAAATTACACCAATTTAATTACTAGTTTTAAAAAACAAAAACATAATTAATTCTAGGATTAAACTACATTGTTATTGCCTAGATTATTACCTATTACCAGCCAATATTTTCAAAGCAGCTTATTGTATGATTTTGATAGCTTGGAATAAATATACGATATGTTTTTGTGAAATAAAAAAATAAAAAAAGTTCAGTATGAAATCTAGATACAGCATCTCTGTTAACTTAAAATCATTATCAATGGTACTACAAATAATACTTATTTCTGCAACATTACGGTTAGAATTAGGTCAAATTTTTATGCATTTTTTGCCCCTTTTCACTTACAATACAACAAAATTTAACTAAAAAAAAATAAAAAACTCAGCTAAAACTAAGTTTAAATAAGCAGTCACTGACTGACCACTGGCTACTTAAGGGAAGAGTGACTTTAATGCCATTTTAAGTAGGGAACCCTATATTTTAAGGGTCCTGTGGGGGTCATAATGTTCATCATAGATCTCCTGGACTCCAGATAAAAGCCCATGACCTACATGGCTGTTCTCCCCTGGGTATCTAGATCTGCATTCCTGCCATTGATCTTTGTATTTTTTCATGATTAAATTTGTCACAGAGATCAACAGTATCTTAATAAAATATTATCATTTACTGAATAAATGATAATCATAGAGGGGTCTATTTACTTCCATAAATAAAATAATATGTTTATAGCTTCTTTGAAAAACATATATTTAAACATTTTACTACTCTCACACTTTAAATATAAAGAATATCCAGCAGATGTTGATTTAATATAAAGTTTTATTTGATGGATCAAATGTTGTGTTCCAATTCTCAATGTCCTCCATAAAACAATCGTATCAATTCTCTTCCAAATCATTGATAATAATCAACTGATGAAGAATATCTTTTTGATTGCATCTTAAGAGAAACATGATTGTATAACTGAACATATTTTTAATAACGTTTCAACATAAATGGCTATAAATAAATATAAATTAATGTATAACTTTAACAAAAAACGATAATGGTTAAAGATTTCATGATAATAAATTGACATAAAAGTTATAATGATATACTGGGAATTAAGTTTACTAAGACACAAACAACACTGAATCTAAAGTTCAGTAATCTAAAGTTCAGTATGACTATGTTTATGGGTCGATCAATTACAAGAAAGGCGAACAACGCATCGCAACCTAATTATACATGGTCATTCCTTCTGACCTACAGATGGTTCCTGGAAAGTTTGCACATAATCCCCTTACCTCAAAAGCTGTAATTTTTTTAAAAATCATAAAATTGTAGAGTGTAAAGGGTAAATAAATCATTCATCGGATTTCAACAATATGTAAATGTCGACTTTTAATTAGTTGTATATTTTGAATTTTAAAAAAATCACTCAGTAAGATTTTTAAATGTTCATCTATGTATCTCTCTGGCAAACTATGAATAAATAGGCCTATTAGCTACTATATACCTGATAAAATATGTCTGTTTGTACCGCATACATTTTTACATGGATTAATAGATATTGATAAAACTTGGTATACTGGTACATAGTCGTTTCATTTCAATTATTCAGAAGAAAATGTTGACGGGGTTTGAATTTTTAAAAAAAGTAAATCTCTAGCAGACTTGGGGGCCCAAGTTCTGTTTTGTGTATGAGCTATATAAGTAAAATTACAATTAATGGATAGATCTAGACCAAACTTGGCTGTCTTATATGAGCTATAGGCCTATAAATAAAATTACAATTAATAGATCTAGACCAAATTTAAAACTCGTTATGAAACAATTTGAAAAAATCTATGTAAAAACTAGAGGGCTCTGAACTCACAATATTCATTACGTTTGTTGTCAGGGACATTAATTTCATTCATGATATACCCTATGTCTCTTATATTTTTCAATGGGACAACTTTTAATTTTAAAT